AACTTAAAAAACAAGCTCCTACTCAAACCGATCTGGACTTACGGTATCCAACTTGGTGCAGCCAAAATGTCAAACTTAAACAAAATACAAGTCTTCCAATCAAAATGTCTCCGCCAAATAACCAAAGCCTCCTACTACATATGTTTCTAACGACACTCTACAATTCTACGTAGAGATCTAGCCATTCCAACAGTCCAAAACGACGCAAAAATTTTCTACAAACGCACACACTCCAAGTTCCACAGCCATCGTAATTCCCTGATTTCCGAGCTATCCTGCACCAACGCTATTCCTGGTGACCCCAGAAGGCGTCTTAAACGTACCTGGTGTCGTGACCTACTTATCTAGAATTGTATATACCTATACCTCCCCTAATCTTATAATCCCACTGACTCTTGCTAACACTTAAAATCCTAGCCTAACATCCCATTCTTAAGCGCCTCCAATGGGCGGCTTCTTATCTCCTGCCACTCAAGCCATGTCACTTCCATCACATACACTTATTATAAAATAATATTTACAGATGTTGTGTATATTTATTAAATGAATATTGATACAATTTATTGTTCGACTAGACCCACAAGAATATTGTAAACGTCCCGACCAAAGAGGGACCTCTGCAGATCACACTATCCTAGATACCTTTTTTTTTTTTATAATTATTTTAAACATAAGTTGCCCTTGCCACTAACCTAGACCATCTAAATTTATGGATACACGCAGGTTATTGAGTTTTACTATTTTAACATGGTAAGGTAATATTAATTATTGTGTTTATACAATAATAAAATGGTATTTAGTATTTACTATCTACTTAATAAAATTAGGTATGTTAATTTCTATAATCAGGTAGGTATATATATAATATAGCACATAGGTGATAGGATAAATTGAAAGCATAGGATTATACTATTATGATTAAACCTAACAAAACATTATTATGGAGAATTAAAAACAAATACGTATTTCAGTGGCTAATGGCGATTGTATTTTGTACCCTAGACGTGTTAAAATTATTAGGCGAAGTACCTGATAAAAAGTTACTAACCTATTTAATTAATTTTTTTTTTTTGTTACGTTTATACTACGTAGTTTTTTTCACATAAAAAAAGCAATCGTTTGATAGATTTCACCAAGTGCCAAGTGCCTATGACATAAAATATAAATAAACTGACTCTCGTCAATTCTATTAATTTATTGAAATTCTGATTTTTGGAATTTTTAAATGCTTTGTAAATCGAAGCAGTTTCAAATTCTTGAGTATAATAAGTACTTCAGAAGCGAAAAACGTCCTGCGGTGACACATATTTTAATTTTTAAAATGAAAACGCCGCGTTTTTTATTAAAAAAATAGTGGATAATTTTTTGAAAATTTGTATATAGTATATACCTAATTTAAAATTTTAAAGGATTATATAATTCAATGGTATTATGCAGAAGTATCAAAATAATAAAAATTTTTTTAATTTAAAATAAAGTCAAAACTCAAAATGTATTATTACTGTAAGGAGTGCATTCTAGCGGAAGCGTCATTGCCGTTGATTCAGCGTCTTTTTTCGGTAATAACCACCTAACCTAAAAAGTAAGAACCAGTAAAACAAAATTGAAAATACGAAGTTACTTGCCAACTTGCCGTATTAAGTATTTTACCGATGACGCGGAGGTTTGTTCATTTCGTGGTTCTCACCGTTCTCAGTTTCTCAATTTCTCAGTGAGCTGACTGAGCTGTTGGAATGTCAGAAAAGAACGTCAAAAGTCAAAAACCATTAACCGTGTAATGAAGTAAGTATATAACTTATAATTTCTATTGTTTATTGGCACGAGTTTTTTCCGTGTTGCAATCATAAATGCACACTTTGATTTAAAAATTTTAGTGTTGTCCTAAGGCGCCCGGTGCTTTGTTCTCTAAAAAATGCTTAACGGTAGAATAATGATTCTGTTATATGTAGACTCAACCAAATTTGGTAACTTTTTGCTTGTTAAATATAGAAATTAATGTTCTATAGACCACTCCGTTTTTCAATATTTTAATTTCTAACTTAATTATATAGCTACAAAACTAATACGATTATTAAGTTTTTTTTAAATTATATAATACCATTATTTGAAATAAAATAAAAAAAAATCTGAGTTCAATGTGTCCTATATGAAGTATTCTACCATGTACATGCCTTATACACCGTATTTAACCCTCTTCTAAATAGGTATGAGGATGTAGTTTAGTGAAACTGTAATATAATCAAAGTGGCAACTAACATATATATGTGTGTCAATTATTTTAATTTGTATATTTGGCTTACAATATTTTTACGACAAGCACAGTGGAGGGATACATGGATGGCTTGGTTGGTTTAATTTAGTAGCTAAACAATAACTGTACTTCATGGCATTGGTAGCAGTGGTTAGTCRACTACTAAGTTTCACGTCAGCGTCGTCAGCAGTTATGGTTTAGCTGTTGATCAGGGTCACCTGAAATTGTACGGTAAGATAGGTTTTGGATGGAGGAGTTTCGACGACTTTCTAGGTAGTTAAGGCGGAATGCCTAATGAAATTTAAAAAACCGGCCCTGGGGCCCTGTCATGTTTTTCRAACTTAAACTATGTGGTGTATTATTTTATATCCTATCAATAAAATACTTAAAATTGCGCCTCTTATAATGTTTTTATTATTTATTTGTTTTAACAGTGTTACCAAGGCATAGCAATCAATATGGGCTGAATAGAATTTAAGATAGAAGCAAGACGACTGGTCATAATGCACTCATTCTCAAAACTGATCTTTATGATATCTACCTCCAAATATAGTTATGTTAATTAAGTCCTACACTTCGTTTTCATGTGCATACTGCAGAAAATGTAATCGTCCTGTTCTTGTAGCAATTCTACTCCAAGAGCTACCGTTTTTATATGCGTAGACCAAGCATTCTAAGTGTCAATTACCACAGCCTTGGGACAATGCTGGGGCAATTAGATTGCTTGTTCTACGCATATAAAAACGTCTGTTTTTGTCATAAAATTACATCAGAGTACCACTAGTTCAGAACAATTAAATAGTCTGAAGTATGTTCATGAAAACAGATGTGTATTAAGATAAAATTAATGACAGACTTAACAAACCAATGAATAAAAATGTTGTCTATTGTATCAATTAATATTTCAGTAATTGAAATTTCTAAATTTTTAAATGTATTGTCTTGAACTAGTAAGCTAAAATATAGATTATTATTTTTGTTAAGTAAAATTTTGTAATGGATATTTTTTTAATTATTCTTATCAATAAATGCAGACTGTGTTCAAATATATTGTTTGAATTCATTAACTTCTACTT